TTGATCTACGGCAATTTTACAACTACCGAATTTCTTGTGATAGGGTTAAGAGTGTTCTTATGCCCGCCAGCTCGGCTTGGAAGACACTGCAATGATCGGGCAAGCGAAAGGTCTTCTGTGTATCCTGGTTTTTAGAATAGAGCCGTCCGATGGTGGAATATTCTTGCTATATTACTCTGTATTAGGAGCAACTACTTTCTGCCCCCTACCAAAGGTTATGTTTGGTACCCAGTTTTATCAGGAGGGCGAAAAATATCTAAACTTGGGGTATGACAACAATGATGCGCCCATTTAGAGAACAAAGAATTTCAGCTATTTAAAGCCTTTGCTGCTTTTGTTATGAAAACAAATTGGTAATTTGTGCTTAGAGAAAGAAATAAAGCAAGTTAGCAAAACAGGTGAATTAAAAACCGACTGGGTAAAAATGCTTTTAATTTGTTAATTAATGAAACGAGTACAAAGGAAAGTAAATATAATCAAAAACGAGCAGTGACAAAAAGAGAAAAAAAATTAAAATAAATGGCCAATGGATAGGCAGCAGCAATAAACACTTAAAAGCCTTTTTGAGCTAAAATAAAAAGTACGGCGTGATTTAATGGCGATACAAATAGCTCCCTGTGGGCTTATTATGGCTGCTACGCCCTTTTGCTTGATGTACTATTGAAAATATTTTTTTGTTTCTTATTCATTTTTGTGTCTACTTTTAGTTTTAAGTTTGTCTTTGTTTGCTTTTTTTGCTTTGATTCGCTGGGACAGAGCTTAACTGGCTCGAATGCCAAAGGACTTCCGGTGGCGCGACGCTGCATAGCTAAAAGAAGCAATTGAAGTGCATAAAAGGGGGCTGGTCCAAAAAAAAATAATGTCACAGAAACCTCAATGCTAAAAGAAGTCTTCTGCAGCAAAAAAGAAACAAACAACAAAAATAAATAAAAAAGAGCATAGAAAAAACCGGCAAGAAATTGCACGCCGACAATGATGAGAAGCAAAGGTGTGCGAGCTAACACACACACACACACACACACACTCGTAAACAGTCAATGCAATACAACTTGCCACTTTTCAATCAAAACATGTTGCAACAACTCCACTCGCCTCTTTTTATTACTGCTGCATTTTTTGCGCAGCCTTGCGCTATGCTTGACGCTGTGCTTATCGGATTTCAGCTGGAAATTTACTGACTATCATTTGTCCTCGAAATTCATACAAAACACATTTATGTAAAAAGGGAAAGGAACCAAAAAAAAAA